TAAGAAACGGTTACACAGACGAACAAATTAACCACTCCAGACTCAACAAACAGCAACAGTTAACAGATCAGATACTCCATCGAGCATCGACTAAAACGATGACACGATACGTGACAACAATCACTACATACTACTTCTCCTTATTTTTGCCTCTGACAACGTCCGGCCTCTTGACCAAACGAGCATCCATCCACGCTGCCCATGCATGCACCAGTGAACACCCCCCGGCCCGATGCGTCCATGTCCATAGCTCATGAAGCCGCTCCGATCCCGACCACGTACACCATCGGTCATAAGTACGGCGGGCACTTGCCGGCGGTGTCCGGCGCGTACATGAGCGGGGTCTTGGGGTGGAAGATGCCGCGCGCGCCCCTGGGCGCCGTGGCCGCCCGGTCCCTCACGAGGGTGAGCCCCAGCTTGGGGTTGGACGGGACGAAGGGCGCGGCGCAGAGCGGCGTCGGCGACGAGCGGAGGTACAGCCTGCAGCTGTGCCGGTCAAACATGTCCACGTCGTACACCATCACGAGGAAATAGCCGTTCTTGTCCGTGGCCGTGCTCGTCTGGTTCGATTTTTTTTTAATTTTAACACTTTTTGAAACTTATTTTAAATCTAACATGGTCGTTTTTTTTAAAACTAACACTTTTGGCCGCGCCTATTGCCCTAGCGTAGCCAAATGCCTGTGCCACCATGCATGGTGACACGGCAGAAGGCTGACGTGGCGGCGACCGGAATCGTTGACCGCTGACGGGGCAGGGCCTGCCGCGCCATCGACCTTGGCGCGGCAGTAACTCATCTTGATCCGTGGCGCGGCAGAGCCGAATAAAACCCCGTGACCAGTCCCACCTGCCCGAGCAGCAAACCCACCTGGCTGCCGCGCCTGCCGCCCGCCCGGCGGTACCTGGACGGTTTAATCGGAACACATTGCGCCGATAGTGAGAATTATTCTAAGTATTGCTTGACGTAAAATCAATAGTGGATTTGTTTCTGTCTTTTGTTGAATTAGTTTCACGGCCGAATAGAGAATTTGATAAGCCAATGATATTTGTACCTGGACGCTGTCGACCCCTCGCGCAAGACGTCGGCCGCCGACGTTGAGATATCCCGGGACTGCCGGTTTCCGAACTAGTTGCTACTTAATCTCGCATGCAGTGATGCCGCGACGCATTGAAACGAATATGAATCAAATAAATGAAGTCCGTGCATAAGTTGACAAGCTGCCACATAACATTTTCATTGGTTTGACATAAGTTCGACATAACATAACCAACTTAGCCTGCAAGTTTCGGACGCCAATAATAGTTCGACCTAACAAACTAAAACCCAAGAGTGTAAGGATCCCTCGGACGCCTCTGTCTTATCGGATTTGTTGGCAACACATTGGAAGTGTAGCCAACATCGGTGTGGTCACGTTGCCGGTGCGTACGGCTCGTACCCTGCAAGTATATGATATGCACGATTACTTAGAATTCTTTATGATCGTTAGTTCATGTAGCCTACGTATTTAAAGAAACTACCTTTGTTAGTACCTGTGAGGCTCCTTGGGTACCAAGCGGGACATCACCTAGCTGAGACATGCCGATCTTGTCCTGCGGCCAATCGTCCTACTGGTCGTGTTGTCTGCGGAAGCCCGGGGGGTCGTCGTCGTCGTCGTCGTCCTCGTTGTCCTCGGTTGCAGGGTCCTTCCCAGCGCTATCATGTGGTGGTGTACGCACCGCGGAAGTGGCACCTGTCACCGGCTGGTGTCCTCAAAGAGGCTGAAGACGTGCCACCCGACAGCGTCGGGAGTGGCGGTTCCTCATAAGGAGTGTCCATGCAGCTCAACCTTTAAGCTAGCTTTCTGCAGCTCTTCTTCACCTTCTGCATAAATAGACGTTAAAGTTAGTGTATTTTTCAAACGCATATACACTAAAGAAACAATTTCGGAACAGACTAGTTTATGTTTACCACCACAAAAGCCTCGAGAACGCCTGGCCCCTGCCCTCTAGACTCGTGAAGCCGGAACGCTGCTTCGTTGGACAGCCTCGACAATTGTGTCGTCTAGGTAAAGAAACGCGGTTGGACAGTTTTAGTATACATACTTAATATCAAATGGATAACAAATTGTACTATTCAAGTATCTTACCACGTATTTTTGTAGCGGGGCTCTCTGTAGTTGTGTGTCCTCCCTAGTGGTAACGTCGTACACATCTTCGATGATATCTTCCTCTGAGTCCTCGTCAATCGCCTCCTCAGTGTACGGGGCCTTGATATGTGTCCTCGTAGACCTGTGAAGCCACCGCAGGTACTCGTCGAAGGTGTGCTGGTTGTGTGGAGGACGCGCATGGACCGGCTGCCGTTCCCTGGTCTTCCACAAGTGGATGTGCGCGCTGTGTGTCATGCGCCAATCCTTGGTCTTGTACCTCTTCCTACGGTCATACCTGCAACAAAACGATGTTAGTTGAACCACACACCTCTGAATTGTAGCTTTGTTATTAATCAATAACACACCCGTGCAATCCTTGGTTGGTGGAGTAAAGCGGTGGTGGACAGCCTGTCATTCTTCCAAACTGTCTGCAGACCCTGACGGGCAAGTGAATCTCGACCACATGGAAGAAAATAAGAGGGACGTCGCAGCGATACTCGTCTGACTCGTCCCTGGTGACAGGACTGAGATAATACTGGAGCTCCGGAGCATCCCAAGGACACCAATGCACCTGAAATTTCGTAATTGAGTTAGGCTGTGATATAGTGTAGATCAAACAAGACACAGGTATGATAGTAAAGAGAGCGTAACCTGGTGTTGTGTCTGGACGTCGAGACCATCCGTGTACTCCCTGTACTTGCGCCTCGCATTCCCTCTAACTAACTCTGATTCCGTCTAGATAAATAGAGCTATAAGGAGTGTATCCTACCCGTTCCATTGCTGCATTGAACACGATAATGAATTAGCCATTAATAAACTCATCATATGTAACCATATCGAAGAATATAATGAACCAAAGTACTTACCGGTAAACCAGTATTAAGTGGTCTCCCAATGGGCCATCATTCCCAACACCAAACCTGGAGTAGGTACGAGCAACCCCCAAGGTTCGCATACCCTGAGGTGCGACGGTAGGCAACGCATAGCTGTCGATACGTCCATGCTAGGACTGCACTGCCCCAGCTGTATGCCGCTATGTTCTCTCACGACTGGCGTAGTATGTCAAAGAAGATCCAGCTGATGGTGTTGCCTAAGGCGTCTGGGAAGAGGAAAGCACCAAGAAAGTGCTAGAGCCACACTCGAGCGAACCTGTCAATCTGAGCCTCCTCAGCCTGTGGGTCCAAGTAATCAAAGCGCTCCGTGATCTAGGACGACGAAACACCGGAAGTTTTCCTGAAATTGACCAAAGAAAATAAGATCCGATGGCTGCAGGAAAGCACTGCAAGTATTAAATAGGCTTGAATTTCTCACTTATTTTTCTTGGAAGCCTCGTCGTCCAGTGAAAGAAAGCCAGTAAACTGAGCCACCAGCTCCCTCCAGTGATCGTTGTCAACTATCCCTGTCACTGGAAGTCCCCCCAACCGAAGGCCAAAAATAGCCTTCACGTCCTGCATGGTTAAGGTCATCTCGCCACAAGGTAGGTGGAACGTGTGGGTCTCAGGCCTCCACCTATTATAAGAATAGAACGAATGTTAGTTGCCTCAAATTTGTTACAAGAAAGTTTACGTACAAAGAATGCACTCGCACATGTCTACAGCTGCAATAAGTAGTGCTGGGTCAAGGAGCGAAAGACCGTGGTTGACAACACGGACAAGCTCGAGAAAGCCGGCACGCCGTATGTACGGCGCATAACGCTCGTCCCACTGGTGCGCCCTGGTGTGCATGCGGGGCCTCAAAGTAGGCAGACCACCTCTGCGTCGTTGTCACTCAAAATGTGTGCTCGGTGCTGGTCGTCGTACTCTACCTCAAGAATGAGGTACAACGGGTGCTGCGTGGGAGAGGTCATCCTGTTACAAATTGATAAACAAAATGTTAGAGTATTCAAATTAACAAAATTCAAATTAACATTATGTAGCATTGTAAAATTTGAACTACTTGTTATGCAATATGAAAGCACATGTATATATTCATAGTAAAATTAACAGACATATCACGCACTAGTAACATAAACAACTTCACTAGGAATATAAGCATTTGACGAAACTTTATGAAGTCATCAAAATCGACGTATCACGCACTAGTAAGTACCGACATTTGTAAACTAGTATCTATACCCAAAATCTCTAACTAAATAACTAACTATAAACTAAATAATAAATACCTAATCAATCCCTAAACCCAAAATCCTAACCTCAAACCTAAAAAACACCTACATAAATCACAAACAAATTCACTAACCTAACTATCCTAAATCACTAACTATCATAAAACCCTAACTATCCTATATTACTAATTATCCTAAAACAATAATAATCAAAATAACATGAAATCGAGAGGGATGTACCTTAGGAGGGGACGACGTTAAGTGGCGCTGCCGGCCATGATGACCATGCTGTGGCAGAGTGGCACCTGTCAGCGTCTTTGGCCGGCGGAAGCGTCTTGTTGGCGTGGTGTAGGGCGGGTGCGTCTTGGCGGGGGCTCGCTTCGCGATATTTTTTTTGACCCCAGCCCAAGCAAAAGATTGGTGGCGGCGAGCCCTCGCGTCGCCGCCGATCGCGATCGCGATTCCGGTCGTCGCCACGTCAGACCTCTGTCGCGCCATAATGCATGGCGTGGCACAGGCATTTGGCCGCGCCAGGAAAATAAGCGCGGCCAAAAGTGTTAGTTTAAAAAAAACCGACCGTGTTAAATTTAAAATTAGTTTCCAAAAAAGTGTTAAAATTAAAAAAAAAACTCTGGTTCAGCACCCGGTACTTGCTCTCCTCGTCGCCGTAGCACACCAGTCTCGCCGTGGCATCTGCCACACGGATATATTTGCAATTGATGTCAGCTTCAGTTCTGTCAGCGAGTGGAAACGAATAATGAACTACAGGTTTTTCAGGACTCACTGGGGAGAGGGGACGCGTCCATGCCGCTGTTGTAGCCCCTGAGCTTGCAGGACTTGCAGTAGATGACACCTTGGACGACGATCACCGGCTGCACCACCGGCCGCGGCGGCGGCAGCGAGGCGTGCGATACAGGGGACGGTGCCGGCGCCGTGGGCTTATACTTAGCCGGCTCATCGACCGCCGTCGACGCATGAGAAGGGAGGACGGTGGCGAGGAAGACCACCGCTACCATTGCCACCACGGCACCATGGTCCTTGAAAGAGGCCATCGATCGATCCTTACCGTTGAAATTGGAAAGCAATGAGTGTGATGATGCGTTGTACGAACAAGCATGCGCTAATTTATAGAGAGAGAGAGAGGGCTAGGGTTTCTCTCCCAGCCGTTTGCTTTCTCATCAAACAAACTGAACCAGCTAGAGATAGCTAGTGCAGTCAGATAGATACCGTTTGAAGTAAATGCAATTTTTGTCTGGCATACATACTCGCAACAGACTGCGTTAATTAGGCTTGTATATTTAAAGAAATGTAGGGCAGGGAGCTGCAGGTTAATTTCAGAAGCATGTCTTTGACGACTGCTTCAAAATATACAGTGAACAAAGGAACAATGACTGCGTACCAGAACTGGATCCATGCATTTGTTGCCATCTATGATCTATCGCCACAGTCTGCAGCATCTGAGCACTAGCGGAGGGACAAAAGGGCAGTAGACCTGTCTGAAAGTTTACTCCCAGCACATTCAGGACTTTTAACCATCTGAGTTTAATCTTAACGCCCATGTGCATGTAATTAGCCGTTTTGTTTTTACGGTGCCGTAGTAGTAGTCGTCATATAGTAGCACTACTCGGCTGGACATGTCTTTTACCCTGAAATTGAACGGTAGAACTACTATTGAGAGATGGTAGCTGAGTCTGAAAGTTTTTGGGGGCATCGGGGAGCGTGGCTTGGAGATTTGTGCGGAACGGCGACCGGCTGGCCGGTAAAACGGCTAATGCTGATGCTAATTTATTGTGAGAGAAAAATATTGTTATTTCGCTGAAACGATAATCAGAGCCAACAACTCTTCCAGACAGACGACATGGGATTAATTTCTGCAGTGGTATGTGTGCGGCGTTACCGCTACGACAAGCAAGCCGGTCGCCCTGGCTCCCTGGGTTTCCGGCCTCGGAAGCGTCCGTCCATCAATTGTTTTTCGGCAAAGCAATCCATCTTTGCATTAATTAATCGGTATGTTCAGTTTTTTCCCCTCTTCTCTCCGTGGGGGATATCGCTTTTGTTTCAGTTTTCTTCACGGACCTGCAGAGGAGCAACGCGCGAGCGCGGGAAGTGGTATTTTGTTTCAGTGTTCTTCACTTCTGGCAAAGTGGGCTAGCCCCAGCACTCGCAATAAAGGCCATGCGGCCACGTAACTTACAACATTGGCCACGTCCTGGGACTAGCCCACGATGCCGCAGGCCGATGACCGCCCAAATTTACATGGGAATGTTACCGAAATTTTTATTTTTTAGCCCTTATTTTAAAAAATATTCACAATTAGACCCCGAGGATTTTAATTCTATTTTTGGATCCGGAGGGTCGGCACCATGACCCACGGCGCTGAGATAACATGTCTCGGCGTCATGACCTATGACGCCGAGGTTCGAGACCAGTTGTGACGTGGCAACAGATATAGCACTGACGTGGCCGAATCTCGACGCCAGAACGCATGGCGCCGACCTCGGCGCCGTAGATCTTGGCGTCGAGACGGATCAGATACGGACGGATATCACTTATATTACATTTGTTTTCATATTTTTGTTCGGATTCGGATTCAAATACATATAGACGGATAGGATATCATTGATATCGACATAATAAATATGCGATTTGAGTATTCGGATACAGATACGATATCGGATGTTGAATAATCAGACTTGGAAACGGATAGATCTGAACCCTTCTTCGGTCTCAAATAAAAATATTCGTAACATTTTCACCCGTTCCCAGAATAATAAACGCACCGGCCAGTAATAAAGCATCTGCTCTAGCATACTCCTATATGCTACGCTACTCTAGCCAGTACTCCTCTTGATGGCCTCCATGCAGCGGCACAGTGCGCCAGCGAGAGGAGGGCCGACGCCTGCTGGCTCGGTGATCCTCCGAACTCTTTTTGTTCGGCTGATAAGCGAAAATGTTGTTTTGGCTGATTTATTGTAAGAGAAAATAATATTTGTTGACTGAAAATAGCAGGACGTCAGTTTGTTGGTGGACCAACTGTATACATGCATACTCCAACTACATAGTGCATTTACTCCTACAACATACACTCATCTTTTCATTATTTAGAGTATTATTTATTTACATTGCAAAAATAAAATATACTATCTCCATCCAAAATAAATATATAATTTTAGTCTTCAAAGTTTATACGGTATTTCGTATATAATTTACAGAGGAATAGTTTATAAGGTATTTTGTATATAGCAATAATCAATTTTTTAAAATTTTGATCAATAATTTGACCAATATTTTTTAACTAAATAAACCTTTTGATGCAACCGTATTCATGTTGATCAATTGTATACCAACATTTTGTAAATTGAATTGAATGTTAGACAGGACTATATAGAGCCTGTTCGGGAGGCCGTATCGTATCGTGGATTATTTACTGCTGGCTGGTTTGGTGTGAGAGAAAAACACTGTTCCCGGCTGGAAATTTACGATCGTTTACGAGCAAGCGAACAGGCTGATAGTGCACAGCTATAGATGAATGTGAAAGATTTCTACTCACTTTAATCAACCTTGGGCCTTGTTCACTTTAAAAAAAAAAGTGAACCCGATGAATAGTATCACTTTCATCTTATTTGGCAAATATTGTCTAATCGTGGACCAACTAGGCTCAAAAGATTTATCTTGTGATTTTCAACTAAACTATGTAATTAATTATTTTTTTACCTACATTTAATACTCCATACAAGTGACTAAAAATTAATGTGATGGAAAAAGAGTAAAAAAACTTGGAATTTGAATGGCATCTAAATAAGGCCTTGGGTGAAAAAGCATGCACTTCTTTTAAAGATGGAGGCAGCAGCCTCCGTGTCAGGTTGCGTGCATGCTAGGAGGGTAACTGCCAAAATGCCAGTGTTTCATGCATGCCTACGCTAGGACATGCGTGGGGTTAACGATGTACACTGCAAATGTGTAAACTTCAATTCGTACGTTGCTACGGAATAACTAACATTTTATATTAAAAACACACGGACCACATGATAAGATAATAATGCTGTAAAAATTAAATATCAACGTTAAAGTGATATTTAATCCAAAAAGTAAAGTTTATGAATTTAACACAGTCACAGAGTGCGCGGTGTCGTAGGCTCACAAACTCTACTTTATAGACATTTTCCGTGATGCGGCTTTGATAATATTTTATATTGGCAGGAAGAAATCTCCGATATCCATTTTTTTCGTGCTCACAAACTTGATTGTCCACGTAATGGCCTCGAACTTTTAGCATGCAAGGGTTGTAAGGCACGACCTATCGATTGTCCAAGCAATGGCCTCGAACTTTTAGCGTGCGGCCATCATTGTGTCGCCGATAGATAGGGTACGAATCATTTCCCTATGACGTTGCCTCACAGAATAGGCGCGGGTAACGGTTCTTGCATGACTCGCGGCCCACCGTGCACGGACAGTATGGGTTTAGCGTCCCGCAGGGACCATGCATCATATGCTTTGTCACCATCTTATAGAGCTCATGATACTTCTTTTTGTTTGGTAGCTCTGCACTGATAATCATGTCATATTGCTCGGGACATGTGAGCTTGTACTTCCGTTCCATTATCAACAAGAAGTGTGCATGCGGCAAGCCCCTCTTCTAGAACTCCACTACATATACGTAGGCCTTCACCTTTCCAAGTATGTCTTTCTCCATCAACATTTTCCTCATCGCCTCTAACTTTGCTATGAAACCCGTGTGACGAGATCTGGGCGGTCATGTGGTGTCTGGCTTGGATAAAGTTCATTCTTGATCTCATCCCAGTTAGGGTTGCACGTCATTGTGAGGAAGGTATCAGGTTTACCATACTTTCGCACCAGAGCCATTGCATCCATGTATCGGCGCCTCATATCACGAGGTCCTCCGATGAATGACGAAGATAGGATAGTATGCCTTCCGACATTCTCAGCAGATCCTTCACCCAAATGCATGCTGTCCACCAGGCCTTGGTATAGGTCAGCCCTCAAAGTATCCTGATTGTTCCTCATGTAGTCTAAACGCGAGCTCTCAATCTTTATGTAGGTGTCGACGGCGAACTGCTGGAAAAGACGCCGGCCATACAGTATTGGATTAAATATCCCTGGCCGCATCTGGAACTTGTAGCAGTAGTAGTCACGCACGGAGACACATGTATTCGAAACAGGTTCTACAGGGAGACATTGTTCGAATTAGTATAATGCGTTAACATAAAAGAGTTTATATTGTATTGTTGAAAAGAGTTCAAGTTACCTCCATCATCATCGTCACCTTTCTCAGCACGCTTTTTACGGATTGCTCGAGCTCGATCAACTTGAGCCATAGTCACACCACTTTTGGAATGCAGTTGTGCCACCCGAGCTCACCCATTGGAAAGAACACCGAGTATGACAGTGGGTCGTAGCATGTATTATATGAGCGGATGTCGTGTATAGACCGATCCTTCCCTTGTAGGAGAACACTATGCTCGAATTGGCCGTGACGTTCACTCCCCTCAACCCAGACGGCGGGCACCTCGGATGTCAATGGCACGTTATATGTTCTTTGGTCAAGGTTCAACTCGACCTGGTAATCCTCGAGGTTTTCAATGTGTCCCAAACTCCTTAGTTGCTGAGAGTAGGGATTCCCATTAGAAATACTAACCAATTGCTCTATAACTTCTCTGTCTTTTTGGGTGCATTGATCACGGCACTTGCTCATCCGATGCTCGAGGGACGGATCGTTGTCATAAAAATAAAGCTCGAGGTGTCTCTTTTCGACACCATCCTCTTTACCAAATGATCGTATGTTATGGTAAATCTAGCCATGGGCACGGAATGTGTAGACACCGCAGATTCGCATGTTAGTGGCCACACGATCTAGGTGGCAGTACAGAGAAGTGAAAGAGAAGTGGCCATTGAAATATCTGATGTTTGCATGAAAGTGCCTAGCATCAGCGTCCGAGCTTGACCACAACCTCATGAGCTCTAGTGGTGTCTCAGGAGTTGAAAGATGAATCTTTCCACCTCGATAACAGAATTCGGGCGGTTCACCCTCAAA